ATATGTTCCTACTAACCCGAAGAGAAGACCATCGAGCTGTTAGCGGCGGATTTGGTACCGTACTAGATAGATACTAGATAGATAGATTCATTGGCATTACTCTAATGATCGCGAAGGGAGGAGGCCACCCAATGTGGCGAGGTGACTGACAGGATGACTTGCCATGGACCCACTGCGCCTTCCTCATTGGCGTGCTACTCTTCTTTAGGGTCTTCGAGCAGCAGGGCACTATAAGGAACATCATTTTCCTCCACCCATGTGATCAACGTGGACCGTGCCTTTGAGGGAACCTTTAAGGAAACCCGATGAGCGCGAGGCACATCTCCGAACAGGTCATGGATTTAATGATCTACTTTTTTTCTTAAGAAATGAAGAAAACTGAATGAATATTTTACCATTTCCTGCCACCACATCAACTGAGGGATATGTCTTCTTGATGTACTTGAGCATTTCAATTTGATATGTTGAAGAACCATTCGACGAGTCCTGCAAATGCGATCAATTACTCGATATTTTTAATCAATTTCAACTTACTTAAATCTCTGAGGGTCTAAATAATGAAAAAACGGATATGTGAGACATGGAAAAGAACACGCTATGTGTTGCACCCAGCGCCTATGTTGAGCAATCTACTTTCCTGCCCGTTACGCCACCACTTCATCGTTTCTTCAAGAAAGATCGGATGTCGATGGGCCAGGAGCGGGCTCTGGCGCCCTATCCTCCAATAGTGGAAGCTGGCAGGCGACCACAGTTCATAGAAACTGGCTGGCGGCACGCCAGACCCAGCTATACCTCTGGCCCAATGAACTAGGCACGGATGAGGCTTGTGCAGCCTAGTTCATTGGAAGCCAGAGGTTTCTTATTTATAACTTCTCACACCTTTTCAGGAACGTCGACGTCTACAGTTCTCATCATTGCGGACAGTCGTGGGCGGCGTGAGCAGCGCGGTTCGAGTTCGCGTTCGGCTCCCTTGCTCTACCAATGGCGATCGGGTAGAAATCGATTTAGGAAGGAAACAACCAATGATGAAACGTCGTAGCTGAGAGCCACCCGAAAATCGGTTATGTTAAGTGTACTTCAAGGGGGACGGACAGGACAATCGTGATTTGTCGCGTCTTCGCGCGCGGTATCGTGTGGTGGTATCGTGAAGCCATGCGCGGTGAGTCCTCGGCATTATCACGTTGTCGTGGAGCAGTGAAACACGTTCGAGATCAAAACAGAGCAGCACTCCATGGTGACCGATATCGAACGGACAAGACAATCGTGGTGCAAATTCAAACGGCCAGACAGGACGCGTATGTCGCGCGCGGCATCGCTCGCCACGCCCACTGGTGTGGCACATCACGATTTCTTGTCATGTGCTCCAGTTCGAGTGTCGCATACAGGATAGTGATCCCGCATCTCTACTCTGCATTTAGCCCCGCTATGCTCACATAATGCTCGACATCAACTGCAAAAGGGCTTCCTCCAAAGGATTCTCGAGGGTTCAGATTTCTTCTGCAAAGTCAGACTTCTTAGAATTTTCACAACTCGGCTGACTGTACCAACCTAGACATCGGATCGGAGCGGCGGCTGCTAATGACAAACAAGGTAAACAATGAAATCACCCACAATCACAATAACGTCTGCTCCAGCTTCCACTAACATGTCCAACGTCTGCCTGGATGTCTCTCGGGTGTTTACGGCAGCCCCACAGAGCAACTGACCTTTCGAATCGTAGGATGCCATCGGATAGTCTCTTGCCTAAATATTTATTCTTTTTAACTGAGTTTTTGAGCAATAAAATTAGAGGTCCTTCTGAGACTGCTGAGAAAAAATTCTGCCTAAGCCTGAGCCCTCTGCTAGGTGAACCAGAACTGTAAGGCTGCGTTTATACTTTGCGGCAGCGTAGCGTAGCGCTTCCAGCGTACGCCAGCGGCAGTGCCGGGGAGAGGATGCATATCGATCTAGCGTTCCCAGCGTCACCAGCGTAACGCTAGCGTACGCTATAACTTATTTCTATGTGCCGCTTTGTTTTATCATGCTGTTGTTCATTAATTGCATGCTGCCGCTTATCGGTCAATGTTTTCAATAACTATGTTGTGTTTTGTTCTGCTTTACTAACCGATAATAAATCATAATCATAATCTCTACTCCCCTACCGCTGCAAACGCTAGCAAAACGCTGGTGAAACGCTGGAGAAACGCTGGCGTACGCTAGCGTTAGCGTACGCTAGCGTTACGCTGGTGACGCTGGGAACGCTAGATCGATATGCATCCTCTCCCCGGCACTGCCGCTGGCGTACGCTGGAAGCGCTACGCTGCCGCAAAGTATAAACGCAGCCTAAGATCGTTCCTGGGGTGATCCCACGATCAGTTCCCCAAAAAGACTTTTCGATGCCTTCTAGGTTATTAGTGCCTAGTAATTTTATTTCCTCAAAATGAATAGCTTCAGGGATGAACTCACTTTCAAGAGATCGGATCGACACAGTAAGGCTATCAGTTCGCCCTTCTCGTTGACAATAGGAAGTTTGCCTGAATGATGATCACATTGTACCAGTGAAAATAGAACAATGGTAAATCGGAAACGAGTTCAAATGCAAGACGGCCAGTAATCAATAAAATCGAATTTCTACTATCAGAAAGAAAACCATAGACTTATTTCGACCACGAACCTAGCCTGTGATCCTTGAGCATTTTCTGTGCTTTTTCCATCGTTAATGATTCATCGCCAAGCACAAGTTTACTGACATCTACCATAATCTTAACAGGCGCTCATCATCAAAATCAAGTATTAGCTGGGTTATCGATTTAATCGATTAGTTCAACATACATCGGTGATTGGCGTTCGTTTTTGAACCTCAACATCGACATCGATAAAATCAAAGTCTCGTGAGGTGATCATTCCTGAAACAGTGTTGACCGAAAAATAAATTTTTGAAAGAAATGTTCTGGGGATTTACAGGTGCGCGCCATGCATTCCACTTTTGTTCGGATTTGAGAAGATTTTTCAGCAGTTATTTGGCTTATAGCACGGCTTACAGGCAACTTGTAGAATGGCTTCGAACTTTCTAACATGTAGCTCACGGATATGGAGATAGCGCGTCCTTGGAATTGTTGGAGGTAGGGGGGATGGGTAGCTGTCATAATAGCAAGAGATGTTTACAGTATTAGGCTAAAAAGGTCGAGAAAATCGAGTTACTGTCTAACCTTGCACATGTATCGTCACACATTTGTTCGAATGCGCTTTCCACACCAAGTATGGGCGTGGAAGTGGGTGAAGACTGGTAATCATCCCGCCCTATTCACTAGCACCTCTTCTCCTTACAGTACAAGAACTATGCAATGATGAGAAAAGCCCAACTTCCTATTGGCAACTACAAGGACGAACTGATTGCCTTAGAATGGTTGTGAGTCCCCACCCATTTTTGGGTCCACTTCAGTTATCGCAGAACATGCTTCAAAACAATCATAACTCCAGTACTGTCGAACAAGAGAGGTAACCGCTCTTCGATCGCTGAAATAAGTTATTTGGGAAAGTAGGTTGGAATAGCGAATGTCTAGGATGGTCCATCCGCTCAATTTACCTACAACGCTACTGCTTTTCCCTCTCATCAACCAAACCAACAAGCATAACAAAGCGGTTCCGCAGGGCGTTGTGAAAGACTACTCAAAATCTAGCGATACCATCTACGCGACCAACCTATGAGTTTCGATCCCACTTTGCCCGTTTCAGTAACTGGAGCACCCGTATAACCATAGTTCTTCTTGATTTGCAACATATCCCAGAGACTCGCATCCGGTTTCAGACAATGCGGTTGCATCACGAATCCCTGCTTGAAACGCTGAAAAAACAATTTTTTAGCCGATTCTTCATGAGACATATGAACTTAAAGTCACATTTCACACTAGTCATGTGGGCGGAGTCACTTTGATCGCTGTCTTTTTCAGCGTCTGATTTGATCAAAAAGAACGGCTAACCAATGAGGATGAATGATTGATCAGATTGACTCCTCCCATACGATCTGTGTGGATGATCCTTTGAGAATGGTTTTTTGGAGGTTGAAACATACGATTATTCCACTGAGGTTCCTCTCAAAATTCTATGGGAAGCAATATTTACAGCTAGAATAATGTGGCTGCTAATGCACCCACATAAGACACAACAGTCCAGTCAATAAAAGGAATCATTATATAACGATCACAGTCGTACCGGTCTTCTGGAATCAAAGATAAGCGATTACCTTGACTTTGAGCACTTCGGCTGCTTGATCTTCTGGTTTCGGAAAATTGCCGTGGATGATTCCCATACCACCATAGAGCTAAAATAACACAAGATATCCATCATAGCACAAGGAGACAGTTATTTCCATTAGTAGACACGTATTCTGTTATTTTGTAGCGCAGTCAGGAGACATCGTGCCATTTTGCAAAATTTTTGCAAGATACGACCCCCTCTCCAGAAAAAATTTGCTCCTCTGTAATAAACTCCTTCCCATCACCCATCCTGACTACCATCTGCCCGAATTTTCCCTGTTTCCCTTCACTTATCCGAGGTTTTTTAACGCACAAAACCGAGAGCAGTCAACAACCGAGAACATTGTTCTCAAGGGCAAATACGACCCCC